GTTCTTGGTGGACACTATGCATAAATAAGTGATTAAATAAAAATATAAAATATTATAAAAAAGTGTGTGTATGTGTGTGTGTGTGTGTGTGTGCGTGTGTGTGTGTGTGTGTGTGTGTGTGTGTGTGTGTGTGTGTGTGTGTGTGTGTGTGTGTGTGTGTGTGTGTGTGTGTGTGTGTGTTTTGCTAAGTTTAAACTTCTCAGACTGCTAAAGTGAGTTTGACATCTGGCAGGAAAAGCTCCATTTCTTTTCTCTCTCTTGCTGGAGCTTCGCTTTGCCACCGAGAGATTTCATTTGCTCTTGGCGAGACAGAGCTGCCGCGTCTCCTGATGCGCAGAGCACAGATCTGAATATAAAGAAGCACGAGCGTTCACTGTCCTCAATAACTCTCCTGAGGAAGACTTCAGAAACATCTTCTTCACTGAAACACACACTCTACACGGAGACTCCTGAGAACACACTGGGCCTCGTTCATCAAACATCAGCAGCATTAATACTTCATACAACCTTTCCTAATTTGTAATTTGTTGTTCAATTAAACGCGCCGATTTATGTAATAAGCCTTTATGAATGATTCAAACTGAAATTTGTTCTACTGATGTCTCATGAATGTGTTCGCTTTTTTATTGTACAACCATATTCTTGCCGACGGAGGAGAAACCATTGCATTTACATTAAAGTGAGCAGAAGCAAAGTTAATGAGCAAACACAGATAGATAGATAGATAGATAGATAGATAGATAGATAGATAGATAGATAGATAGATAGATAGATAGATAGATAGATAGATAGATAGATAGATAGATAGATAGATTACATGTTTCCTGTAGAGATGGTCATGATTTCTGCATCCTGCTCTCATTTCCTCTTTCTTTCTTTCTTTTCACTGGAAAAACTAAAGTCAGACTTCTTTAAAGGGTTTTTCCGTCCTGTGCTGACACATCAAAACAGGAAGTGTGTGTGCGTGTGTCCATTAGTTTATAAAGCTGAGTTTATATCTGAGACTGACGGACACGAACAGCTGCAGATCCACATCTACTGTAACACAATCAAGATCTGAGCACGATTATATGACAGAATAACTGTATAGATATGACTGTATAACAGCATAAGCAGAGTTAACAGCACAGGACTAAACTCTTCCCAGTAAAGCTCCCAGTGTGTAATACGAGACACGTCACCCTTTCGCTATGCCTTACTCATGAACACACACTAACCCTGACATCAGCAGGAAACATGCGGACAGACTCTGCTACTTCCTTACGAGGAAAACCTTCAGGGAAGTTATAAAGCAGAGTCCGATTAAACTCCACACATTATAGACCACAGGAACTTTATTCTCGGAGATCTTTCGCTCTTTCTCTGAATCTCAGGACGCCTCAGACTGTGTCCATCGGCCGGAAACACTCCGGGATCTCCAGTCCAGTGCCAGACGACTAGGGTTGGGTACACAGACAGTAGAAGCTTGGGATCGGTTCAACTCTAACGATTCTTGGTTCCGATTCCAATATTTTTTGGAGGACAAAAAAAAAAAGAGCAAATAAATTCGACCTTTTATTCTTGTCACATTTAGGCTATTACCAGTAAAACTGTGACAATGCATCTTAATTTACAAAAAAATATATAACACTTCAAGGAATTATCAATAAAAACAATTACAAAACTATTTAATTTTAACACACAAAATAGAACATAACTAAATATATAACAGACATGCAAAGTCAGCAATTCTTTTGAAGAGAAATCAGCATGTCTGCCTTCTCTGGAAGTGAACGTGATGTCTCGGGATCTCTCGGGATCTCTCAGGATCTCTCGTGATCTCTCGTGATCTCTCGGGATCTCTCTGGATCTCTCAGGATCTCTCGTGATCTCTCGTGATCTCTCAGGATCTCTCGGGATCTCTCGGGATCTCTCTGGATCTCTCGGGATCTCTTGTGATCTCTCAGGATCTCTCGTGATCTCTCGTGATCTCTCGGGATCTCTCGGGATCTCTCGTGATCTCTCGGGATCTCTCGGGATCTCTCTGGATCTCTCAGGATCTCTCGGGATCTCTCGGGATCTCTCGGGATCTTTCGTGATCTCTCTGGATCTTTCGGGATCTCTCGGGATCTCTCTGGATCTCTCGTGATCTCTCTGGATCTTTTGGGATCTCTCGGGATCTCTCGGGATCTCTCGGGATCTCTCGGGATCTCTCTGGATCTCTCGGGATCTCTTGGGATCTCTCTGGATCTCTCGTGATCTCTCTGGATCTTTCGGGATCTCTCTGGATCTCTTGTGATCTCTCTGGACTTTATATCACTTAATTCGGACTTTATAACTCGCAATTGCGACTTTATATCACGTAATTCGGACTTTAGAACACAATTGCGACTTTATATCACGTAATTCGGACTTTATAACGCAATTGCGACTTTATATCACACAATTCGGACCTTATAACACAAATGCGACTTTATATCAAGCAATTCTGAGAGAAAAAAGTGAGAATTGTGAGATAAGTTTTTTATTTTGTATTCTGTGGCGGAAACCAGCTTCGATAACTCTCCCTCAAGTTGTTCCAAACCTGAATAAACAAACAGTTGTTGGACCCCATTGACTCCCATAGTATTTTTTCCCCATATGGAAGTCAATGGCGTCCAACAACTGTTTGGTCACAAACATTCTTCAGAACAACTTCTTTTGTGTTCAGCAGAAGAAAGAAACTCATACAGGCTAGGAACAACTTTAGATTGAGTAAATAATGACATAATATTCAGTTTTGGGTGAAACATCCCTATAATTCATGATGGACTGTTACAATACGTTACGACAGGACAGTTACGAATTAAAGGTGGAGAGCTCATATCAGGTGTTCAAAGAGCTAACTTTTAATTTGTAAAGATTTACAGGCTGATCTCATTCTCATTCTCTGATCTCAAGTCTCAGAAGTTTGAGAGTTTGTAGACCCGGCGTAGTAAACCCACGACATGATCTGATGTGTTACAGATGCAGCGTTACACCAGAGCGCCGATGAGGGAGATCTACAGGACATCTGAGGGAGATCTACAGGACATCTGATGGAGATCTCAGTAGATCAGTGTGTGTGAGAGACAGAAGGTAGAGGTCAGATCCAGAGCTCAGGGTGTGGTGGAGCTTCACACACTCACACAAAGACCTGCCCTTGCCAAACAACACTCACTTTGGGATTTTAAAGGATCTTAAAACCTTAAAACACAAAACCCGAAGGCCTGGATTCAATAAAGCAAACCACCAACAAGTGAGTTATGAAATATGGCACAAATAAAAGTAACACGATTGTTTTTAAAGCACCATGATGTCGCTGTACTTAGGCTACTTACATTTTGACTCCTTTCATTCATTTTTTTTTCTCTCCATTGCATATGCTGTATAAACCAAGCCGTATTTTCTCCCAAATCCCCAGCATGCATCTGCTTCTGAAAGACATGTTTAATGAACTTACCATCCCAGCGATGAGAAGTTGGACCAGGACAAAGCTCCGTTAATCCAGCTGTGTGTATAATGATCTAGCAGATCCGAGGAGACTCGAGACGAACTTTATTCTGTCATTGCTGTGTTTACGCGTGAGGAACGCCTGTTAGCGCCTGCTGGGGTTATGAAGAAGGCAAAGCTTCGTGAAATAGCGTTTCTGTGAGATGGTTTATGCGGTTTTCCTCAGTCGGGAAGCGAAACCACTCCTACATCACTCTTGCGCTCGCTCCCGTCTGATGACGTCACCCACCGGGCTTTCACCGTTCACTCCTGGAGAACAAACATCCCCAGGCTTATAAATCACACAAAAAGTGCAAACTGCATTGATGCATTATGATGATTCATTCAAAGATATGACTTGACCTTATTATTGTGCTTTTCATTCTTTTTTGTGCATGTATAATTACATAATTCGATGTATGCAAACCTAGGATATTTATGTTTTCTTGTTTGTTCATTGTAAAAGACACAACCTTGCTGAACTTCCCTGAGCTGGGAGTTATGTATAAGTTCTGCAATAAAAATAAAATAAAATAAAAAAAAACTGGTGAACACAAAGTCTACTCATGATGTAGCATTACTATTGTAGGCTACTATTATCATTACAATTGTAAAATTGATAATAATAACAGTCAAAAATTGATTATGCTTACTATTTCATATTTACTATATGTGGGTTTGATATAGGCCTAGTAATATATATTGTTATTATTATTAGTATAATAATTAATATAGCCCATTGTTATTATTAGTAGTAGTAGTAGTATTAGGGACCCTAAATATAATAATAAAATAATAACATAACAACATAATAATTTAAATAAAGTAAATCTGGCAATACTAATGTTTTGTATATATCCAAAAGCAAAAAGGCTATTGGACTTATACAATTAAGTTACACTTTACTTTAAGGTGTCCGTGTTACAGTGTAATTATACATTTACTGTGAGAAATAATAATTAACTGCATGTATTTACTATAGAGTTAGAATTAGGGTTTAGGGTTAGTTGCATATAATTATGCATAATTTACTGTTATTACTATAGTAACTACATGTAACATGTAACAAGGACACTGTAAAATAAAGTGTTACCTAAAAATATTATTAAATATATGCAAAGTGGCATCTTTTCCTAATTGCTCGTTTTTTTGTTGTTGTTTTTTTATTATACTCTGGCACCTTTATTTTTCTGTGACAGGTTTACATTAATAGTTTAATTTAACAGGTTTAAACAGCAGAGGATCCCCCGTGGAGAGTCACACCTACATCTCATCCTGACCCAGACAATAAATCACAAAAGTTCCCAAACACCACATTGCACTGCCATTGCATTAAAGGTACATGTTCCTCTGGCTGATGTTATTATACAGAGACTTTCACTTTCACTTCTATATAGCATATATTATTAAATGTCCCAATCACACCGCTGGTTTTACTGAGTATTAACAATTATTATTATGTTTTTTTAAAAATAGTAATGACTAACGTCACCCTTGCATTACCTCTCAAAACCACATGGGGGCGCAGACTGAATTCCACACTTCGTTACAGTGATTCAAATTAAACACATTAGAAAAAAAAAACATGCGAAATAAAAAACTTTATATTTACGTGTTAAATTATTTAATTATTTAAAAGTATATTATTTAATTTAATAATAATTTAACGAAAGTACGTCAATATAGCCTATTTAACATAGGTTAATTATTAAATTACATATAGGCCTACGTTATAAATCACGATAGAGCGTCTATATTCATACACATGAATTCCATAGGCACTACGCAACATTATATAAAATATGCTACAATATTTATAAGACTTTTATTTTGAGGGGAAACTGTGTGACATCACATCCGGTTGCCAGTTGTTGACAAAGCGCTGCCTCACTGACTGTTGTGTGAAGCGTTCACAATCAAACTGGTGAGATATTAGATATTAATCCTGTCGTATTAAATGTCACCGTGATGCGAAGTTAATGTATTGTGTCTTAGAACAATAAGTGATCTGCTGTCATCATCATCTTTGAGAGATTCATTAACATCAATAGTTAGCATTAGTTGATTAGTCACAGTACATGATGCTAATTGTTTTGTTTTACAAGTTTTCAAAAATGTTATGTTTACATATGTAAAGGCGTCATTATTATCCAAATAAATACGCACTAATTATTTTGCACACATTAACAGAACAGAAATCTGAAGTTTTGATAAAGTCAGGTGGTTTTGCTGTTGTTAACACATTAGAGTTTTAATGTGGATTTTTCTGAGGAGATTTTGGATTTCTCTTTATATCATTCCATATTTCTAGGAAAAAAATGGTGTTTAAATCAGGTGGTCAGCCGTAAAACGTTAAAAATCTTAATGATCCAAAACCTTTGACTGGAAGTGTATATATTAGATAAAGTGCACTAACACTGTTTTCTTCCCACGAGAAGTGTTTTCTTTTCCTCGTTTGAGAGTTAATGGTCTGTTGTGTGTTGAAGGATATGGAGGGTTCAGCATGGCATCTCTCCCTGAAACTCCGGGACAAACCCAAGGCCATGTTCCAGTTCCCAGAGTCCGAGCCTGGAGACGTTCATCCCGGAGGATACCAGGTGTCGACGCTCAAACAACTGATCTCAGCGCAGTTATCAGACGCGCTGCCCGAGCCCGAGCTCATCGGTCAGAACATTACACACTTCCTTTCAGCCGCTGTCAATCTACATTCACACACTTCAGCCATTTATGATCAGGTCGATGGTTCGATCAGCTGAAAGGCCTTAAACCGCTCAATCGATCTGAGTGAAGTTTCAGTCAGAGACTCAGAGTTCAATTATCCGATCAGGAAGAAGCATGTAAACTCCTGAATCCGACTATTTTCTGTTGCATTCAAAAACACTGGCAGTGCCTTGATGCATATGTTTATTTATGTTTCATGTTTTATGAACTGGTCAGTGGATGCGATTGAATGTCAAGGTTATTATTATTATCAATAACTAAAACTATTCAAAACATGTATTTGAATTAGTGCTGGGCAACGATTAATCGCGATTAATCACATAATACAGTATATGTGTGTGTACTGTGTATAATTATTTTGTATATATAAATACACATATGCATAATATATATATTTAAGAAATATTTGCATGTATATATTTATACATAATTTATATTATATATAAATATTTTATATATAAATAACACATTTTTCTTATATTTATTTATGTGTATTTATATATACAAAATAATTATACACAGCACACACACATATATTATGGAAATACAAACTTTTATTTTGAATGCGATTAATCTTTGCCCAGCACTAATATTAATTTAAATAAATAAATTTGTTTAAAAAAAAATAAAAAAAAATAGAAATGTTGCCTTGAAATAAATTTGTTGAAGCACTAACATTATTAACCGTTAATAAAAAAAAATGATTAAACCTAAATAGGAATGTTAAAAAATATCTATAATAAAATGAGTACAAATTTTACTCAAATTAAAATAGAAAAAAAATAAACTTAAAACTCAGAATATTAATGGAATATTAATAATGCGCCACTGGTTCCCTTGAAGTTTTCCTCTGGGTTATTATCAGGACTTTGGTAATCATAACATGATGATGCTTGGACGTTTTGCTCTATTATGAATATTAATGAATATGTGAATCGTATTCGGGTCTGTGTAAACAGAACGTGTATTGTGCGTTCCCGCTTCTGTGTTTTGCAGACTTTGTGCACTGTGGCTGTGTGCTCAAGGATGATCTCACGCTGGACTCCTACGGGATCAAGTCTGGATCCACACTGCACATCATCAAGAAGACGTGGCCGGAGCCGGAGGTCAAGCCTGGTGCGTGAGGATCTGACCTCGAGTAAGGGATTACGGGATCTGTGAGGTTCATCAGTGCTGATGTTTCTCGTGTTCCTCCTCACACAGAGCCGGTGAACAGATCTGCAGCGGCTCGAGAGTTCAGGATGCTCCAGGCCGGACTGATCTCCAACTCAGCGTACAGAGAAGCGGTCGGTACACACTACAACACTTCAGCCTGTTCACTCAGCATTTGAGTTCAAGGGATAGTTCACTCATAGTTACTCACCCTCAAGCCATCCTACGTGTATATGATATTCTTCTTTCAGATGAATACAATCAAAATTAAAAAAATGTCCTGGCTCTTCCAAGCTTTATAACGGCAGTGAATGGCTGTTTCTGTTTTGAAGTCCATAAAAGTGCATCTGTCCATCATAAAAGTGCATCTGTCCATCATAAAAGTGCATTTATCCATGATAAAAGTGCATCTATCCATGATAAAAGTGCATCTATCCATCATAAAAGTGCATCTATCCTTCATAAAAGTGCATCTATCCATGATAAAAGTGCATCTATCCATCATAAAAGTGCATCTATCCTTCATAAAAGTGCATCTATCCATGATAAAAGTGCATCTATCCATCATAAAAGTGCATCTATCCTTCATAAAAGTGCATCTATCCATGATAAAAGTGCATCTATCCATCATAAAAGTGCATCTGTCCTTCATAAAAGTGCATCTATCCATGATAAAAGTGCATCTATCCATCATAAAAGTGCATCTATCCTTCATAAAAGTGCATCTATCCATCATAAAAGTGCATCTATCCATGATAAAAGCGCATCTATCCATCATAAAAGTGCATCTATCCTTCATAAAAGTGCATCTATCCATCATAAAAGTGCATCTATCCTTCATAAAAGTGCATCTGTCCATCATAAAAGTGCATCTATCCTTCATAAAAGTGCATCTATCCTTCATAAAAGTGCATCTATCCTTCATAAAAGTGCATCTATCCATCATAAAAGTGCATCTATACTAGGGGTGACCCCGAATAGTCGAAGATTCGATGCTTCGATAGGAGGAGCCTGATTCGACTACCAATCTCACGGTCGAATCTTCGCAGATGTGTTATTAAACGAGTATTATGTCATTTTGGCCATGTGAGTGTGCTAAATGTCTGATTTCACATAGAACTACTGGTTTTCTGTCAATACGTTAATATACAGCCTATTATGATAATGCTGTCAATAAAAATGTGCAAAGAAAGAAGCTTTTAATAAATATTTTTAACGTGCGTGCAGCGTGAATAAATCCAAACACCCCGTGACAGATTTAAGTTTCACTTTCGATCCGTGACCGACAGAGGAGCGTCTTGTCGGCAGGGATTTAAATCTTTAAAAATGTCTGGGATAAGAAAATCTAAAGATGCACACCATCAGAAAGGATATTCTCCAAGGCTGGATTTAGCATCAGGAAAACCATGATCGCACTTCTGCCGGCCAGCGTTAACAGGTTGGTTTTCCTCGGGACGTTCTAAAACGCTTAACGTGAAAAAAGCTTTTAAAACGCTTAAATGGCACTTTTACGTGCTTAATGTATGTACACAGTAGGCTACACACCTTAAGAAACCATTCCATGTGCAGATAAGCAGATGAACCCAGAATATGAACGCAACGCGTTTCTCCTGAAAGTCACGTAAAGCTTTTTCTTTAACGGTTTTCTATGGGAGGAAAATGCTTAACGTAGCCTATAATAAAAAGCGTTGCGTTCATATTCTGGGCTCATCTGCTTTTCTGTAGGCTATATAGTATGCTTTATTAATAAGGTGTGTACAGAATTTGATCTTTTAATATAACAGTTTTAGGACAAAGCCGTTAAGCGTTTTTCACATTAAGCGTTTTTAGAATGTATTTTATCCGCGCACACAATTTGAAAAGACTCAAACGGACACAGGCCGAGTGAAAGACTGGATTTAGTTTTCTCGATCAGGTATGGGTACAAGTGATTTCAAAACATTTCAGCCGGTTCTAATTTGATTTTTGGATACTGTGAACACGTTTAGCTAAAAGGACTGCCGCTCCAGTTTAGCGTTTATTGTTGTTTCTGCAGTTAAAAAAACAAAGTTGACAGTCCTGGCCATACTTTCGTTATTTTAATAATTTCTTTATTTTTATTTTATTAATTGATCACTCAGGGTGATCTAATTTAACTATTTGTGACTTGTGTTTTTAATATTTGTTCCCCTGCACTTTAGGCATTTTGCGCATTTGTTCTGCTTCTTGTGACTTGATTCTGACTTATTTCGTTTTGTATTTTTATTTATTATAAATGTATATTGTGTTCTTTATTGTTGATTATTTTTCAGTGCATCGATGTTGCGCTGTAGGCTTACTTAGAGTATGCTCGTACAGGCAATTCAGCCGATTTAATTTGTGAAATGCAAATCCTATCTGCAGTGTGGCCTTTCTGCAGTTATTTATGTTATTTCTTAGTTTTATTGATCCAAAATGTTTTTATACATTTTCTTCTATATCTTTGTGTGATGTTCTGTACATTGCGGCTTTAAAATGTTAAAGCCCCGCCCCGCCCCGCCCCCTCCCCAACACCACACACATGATTCGACTATTAGTCGACTATAGGCAGGACTTGACGAATCTGATTCGACTATGAAAATCCTTAGTCGGGGACACCCCTAATCTATACATGATAAAAGTGCATCTATCCATCATAAAAGGGCATCTATCCATGATAAAAGTGCATCAGTTCATCATAAAAGTGCATCAGTTCATCATAAAAGTGCATCAGTTCATCATAAAAGTGCATCTGTCCATCATAAAAGTGCATCTATCAATGATAAAAGTGCATCAGTTCATCATAAAAGTGCATCAGTTCATCATAAAAGTGCATCAGTTCATCATAAAAGTGCATCTATCCTTCATAAAAGTGCATCTATCAATGATAAAAGTGCATCTATCCATGATAAAAGTGCATCTATCACAAAAGTTATTCTCAAATCAGTGAGGCTCAGATCAATCAGTTTCAAAAATAACTTTCAAAAATTCAAAATCTTAACTGAAAGAAAACAAGTTGACAAAAAGATTGAATCCAATATTTGGTGATGATGTAGCATAACGAGAGATTTATAAGCAATTTTTTTGTTAAAATACAAGGCATAGATTTCTCCCTTTTTGAGGGAGAAATAAAAAAACGTCATTTTGTAACCACTAGGTATAAATATATACAAATATATACTGGATAGATAGCTGTGTATTCCCTAGTTGCTTATTACAGTATTTTCTGACATCATTTATTACTTGTATTATGCTTTTCATTTGGATATGTTTAGACAAGATCAAGGACTATTTCTCCATGGTTGATTTGTGACCATTTGTTTTTAAAAGTCCTTTTCTAATCATGTCTACAATTGTTTTTGTTCATATAGCAAGTGTATGTGCGTTCATACACTACCACTAATGTTGTAATGCTTAATAAAGCAGTTAATCATGCTCTCGTGTGTTTTCAGGTGTATAAGATGCTGGCTAATAAAGAGTCGCTGGAGCAGATTATCGCGGCCTCACCTGGACTCAGCTCAGATCCCGTAGCTTTAGGTTTGTTGGCTTTGAAACGCATTACCGCTCATGGACGAAGAATCATGCGACTCTCATCAGCTCCTTCGTTTTGCAGGTGTGCTCCAGGATAAAGATCTGTTCGTTCAGTTCACAGACCCGAACCTGCTGGACACGTGAGTGTCCTCCAAACACACAGGGCTCTGTCATACACTCGGTGCAATGCAGCGCCGGGCAAATGCATTTGCTACAATGCAAGTGTGTTTTGCTAGTTTCATCCCGACACAGTTTTCATTTTCACGTCCTGCGCCACGTTGTGCGTTCATCTATGGCCCATGGGCGGCGGGTCTGAGAACCAGGGGCCGTATTCACAAAGAATTTGATCTTACCACTAGGAGTACTCCTAAATCGCACTAAAATATTTTAGCTAGGAGTTTTCTCTTAAAAGTTATTCACAGCGCCTTTCAGACCTCCTCTTAGTAAGGAAAAATGACAACTCCTAAACTAAGAGTGAGTCTTTGTTGCTATGGATGACGTCAGTTCTCATGCACGAGCTTCCTCGCAGTGTTAGATGACAGGGCCATCATGCGGGACATAACACAGACGCAACAAATCATGGAATTACCACATCTAAATATGTCTGTGTCCTACACAAAATAATAATAGTAATGTCATCGAAATGCATATATAATGACATGTTTGTGCAGGCCCCAGTGAAGTGTGATTCTAAAAAGGCAGAGAGAGAGAAAAGTCGTAAATTAAATTAAATCAAGGTAGCCTAATACCCAAATGAAAACCGCCACTTGCCTAATAATGAAAAAACGAAACTTGCATTAACACTTGCTTGGTTAATTGACATCCTATTAGCCTAAATAGACTAAAGCAAGGAAATGTTGCTCTTATTGAAGTAATGTAATAGTTGAATGACGGTGGATTATGAAGTCGCCAAAACGTAAAAGAAAGCCCAACTGGACGCATGATCAGTTACTGCTGCTGGCCCAGCTGGTGCTAAAAAAAAAAAAAAAAAAAAGATGCTGGTGTGCGCTACAATCCTGTGTGAATAGGTCTTAGTGAGTTAGGAGTCCTCTCGACTTCTTTTAAGCTGTCCCAGACTTAGCTGCTACTTTTAGGGCTAAAATGCTTCGTGAATTACTCTTAGTGAAAAAAAATTAGGAGTCCTAAAGTTAGGAGTGACACGCCCATTATTTTTAGGAGTTGCTCCTAAATTCGCCAGTTAGGAGCTACTTTTAGCCTTAAAATTCTTTGTGAATACGGCCCCTGGTGTGTGTTCAGGGCAGGCGCATTGTTGGAGCACTGCTATTTTGAGGAACTGAAATAGACTGACTTTAGACCAGGTTTCAGTCAATGGCGCAATAGTTTTATTGTTGTTTAAAGTGCGCGTTAGTAATATGAGCCTATAGGCGGTTCCACAACGCGCGCGAACACTCTGCTTTTTACACAGACAGACACACACACACACACACACACACACACACTGCTTATTATACACTTTTTAACTTTATCCTTCTCCTCATTGAAAACTTGACTGAGTGCCTAGGACCTGCTTTTCACTTATTATACACACTGCTTATTAGACACACAGGGACGTGCAGCAGCACACACACATGCCAAATATTAAAAATGAAAGGATTACAATGTAAAAGAGTAATATTGTTTACATAAAGATATGGTGGAATCCGGCTTGTCCCGTAGATGGTCTCACTTTAACCACACACACACTGTACAAATTTACAGGTACAATATGTAGGAATTTTGTAATAAAATATCCAAAAATCACTTGCACAGTGTGATATATTTCCTGCAGTTGTGTACTTACAATATCCCAAAAGTCTCCAAAGATTTTTTATTTCAGAGAAATTCCAATTTTAAATAGGCGACATTGTTGTCCCGGACAACAATGTCGCCTGTCAATGACGCAATATCCGCGTTTTCCTCGGTTTCCGCTCGTACTGCCATAGCCATGACGTAACCATGGCGACAGACGCTGACAACTAGAGCGTAACGTTTAGCGGCACGCTGTTGTTGTGCGAGATACATAGGCCTTTATGACGTGATAGATCAATCATTATGCATATGTTGATTCACCCTCAAAAACTATCAAGTGATCGTTATGCTGATGAAAATTCACTGTTATATTGCGCTTTGTACTTTGGTAATGCTTTTTATCACTTGTGTTTTGACTGAGATTATGGCAGTGCAATTAAATACAATCGGATATGTGTTGTTAAACAATATTTAGCCATTACTTGCAAATGTTCGTTCAAATTTACTTTGAGTACGATTGGTTTGAACACGTAAAACAACACGGCATTAACCATAAACACGTAAAACTGCACAGCATTAACCCAACAAATCATTTGACAAATAGCTGTAACAGGATAATTTAGCATAACATTTCGCCTTCCTTGCAGTTAATTCATTATGGTGACATGAAATATTGCGATCAGACGATAAGTACCTCATCCGTGATCATGATTCATTAAGTTCATAACATCTCTGGATGGTGAAAACGACATCTCCCATCGTTCAACTCTCCCTCATAGCGTCACCAAGCTTCGCCTTTGTTATTGTTGGTAACTGCGCCCTCTTGTGGCGAAAAATTCCTACATATTGTACCTTTAACCTCGCGTATGAGCAGATCCGTTACGCCCAAAACACACCCATTACTCATTAAGGGTGCTCTCACACTGGGCTCGTTTGCTTTGCGTTTGTCTAGTTTCACACTCAACTTGATTCTATCGAACCCTGGTGCGTTTGCGTGCATCTTACGCAGGGCCGGATTAAGAGTTCAGAGGCCCCTGGGCACAATATCTTGTAGGCCCCCCCCCTTAGGCAGGCCAAATGTATATTTTGCCCAAGGACATTTTAATATGGCATTTACAGTTTTACTGACTTAAAAGGAACTTTGTTGTACTATGCTGGAGTAAAGTTCATAAATGGTCGTTCTTTCCCATATGAATTTGTAATGCTATGTTGGGTGCACCTCTGTGCCTCTAGGGGGGTTCGGGGGCATGCTCCCCCGCAAGAAAATTTTGTACATTTTAAGGTTAAATGCATCAATCTCGTGCTCTTTGAGAGATCAAAATTAAGAGCTTCAACCCATGAACTGCTCGTTGAACAAAGAAAAAGCATTGATTTGTACCAGGACAATAAAGAGGGCTCAAACATCTTTTTAGTTATGAGAGTCTCAGTCTACATTACATTATCAATGGTGTTTTAGGATGCCAAACAATTATTATAATAATCTAATAATGATTTATATAATTATTCCTATGACGTAAAATCCATAGCCTATAAATGTACTATATAAATGAAAATGAATATTTTAAAAGTATATTTTAGTCTACATTACACTATAATACAGGAAAATTAAAATACTTTTGTCCTAATTTCTTCACTTGCAAGAAATAAACCCTTGAGCTTTTATTTAGGAGAAAACACCAGATAACCATGCTGATCGCGTGAGCAAAGAGCGCACTTTTCTTTAAATCACGCAGCACACACAGGATGCCTATTCTTAAAGTCTTGTGCTGTTTTATAAAGGCACAAAGCCATCATGGTTTCGATTTTAGTTCGTTGGCAAAATATAACGCTAGAGACCTTTATGTTAGGTTATACATTTTACATCTCATATGTGTTGGGAAAAGGGAGAAGAGAGAGTTCGGCAAAAGGCGGATTCGAACTCGGGTCGAGCGCATCAAAAGCTGCTTTCAAACACTTCACGCGCTACGACCTACGCCACTGTAGGTATTCAGTGACGCGCGTCTTTTTACTACAAAGACAGGCACTTAGTGCAAATATACGCTCCGTTATCTAAAATATATTTTTTCTTCCCCTCGCTTGGGCCACAAGTGCGCATGGCGAACTTGCAATGAATACATTTTATCAGACCGGCCCTCGCGGCCTCGAAACACTACCGGCCCACCGGGGAAACTCCCGACTCTGCCGATTGCCACTCCGCCCCTGGTGCCCAGGGCCCCTTAGATGTCGTGGGCCCCTGGGCAAGTGCCCAGTTGCCCTAATGGTTAATCCGGCCCTGATCTTACGTCATTGCAAAGTCCACATTCACGCGAATCGTAGCACGGTCCGAGTGCAACCGAACTCACAGCGCCTCCTCCCGGTACTCTCGGGTTCGGTACCGCAGTGCGCACCCGGGTCCCCATGACAGCGGAGCCGTGGCCCGTTCCGGACTAAACTGCCAGTGTGAAAGCACCCTAAGAGAATAGAGACGACCCTTTTAGATCATGCGCCGGGAGCACCGACCATTTTTACCGTCGTTAAACCAGCAAAAGCGGATTCATACGCGTCTTGCACCGTGCGCTTTTGACCATGAACTTAGATCATTAAAATAGGGCTTTTGGAGTCGCACGCTTCAGTGAACATGATCTCACCTGCCTCTCTGTGTGTGTGTGTGTGTGTGTGCTCCAGGTTGATCCGCTCTCACCCGGCATTGGTGAACGCCATCGTCCTGGTCCTGCACTCGGTGACCAGCAGCATCTCCAGCCAGTCCGGCTCGTCTCGCAACGCATCGGCCAGTTCCTACAGCGAAATGCCAGGTGAACTACAGCTTATAGATGAAACACTGCGTCTGATAATGTTCACTGCGTCTGGTGATGTTCACTGCGTCTGATGATGTGCACTGCGTCTGATGATGTTCACTGCGTCTGATGATGTTCACTGCGTCTGATAATGTTCACTGCGCCTGATGATGTTCACTGCGTCTGGTGTGTTCACTGCGTCTGGTGATGTTCACTGCGTCTGATGATGTTCACTGCGTCTGGTGATGTTCACTGCGTCTGCTGATGTTTGATGTTCACTGCGTCTGGTGATGTTCACTGCGTCTGGTGATGTTCACTGCGTCTGATGATGTTCGCTGCGTCTGATGATGTTCGCTGCGTCTGATGATGTTCACTGCGTCTGATGATGTTCACTGCGTCTGGTGATGTTCACTGCGTCTGATGATGTTCACTGCGTCTGGTGATGTTCACTGCGTCTGATGATGTTCACTGCGTCTGATGATGTTCACTGCGTCTGATGATGTTCACTGCGTCTGATGATGTTCACTGCGTCTGGTGATGTTCACTGCGTCTGGTGATGTTCACTGCGTCTGGTGATGTTCACTGCGTCTGATGATGTTCGCTGCGTCTGATGATGTTCACTGCGTCTGGTGATGTTCACTGCGTCTGATGATGTTCGCTGCGTCTGATGATGTTCGCTGCGTCTGGTGATGTTCACTGCGTCTGGTGATGTTCACTGCGTCTGATGATGTTCACTGCGTCTGGTGATGTTCACTGCGTCTGGTGTGTTCACTGCGTCTGATGATGTTCACTGCGTCTGATGATGTTCACTGCGTCTGGTGATGTTCACTGCGTCTGATGATGTTCACTGCGTCTGGTGATGTTCACTGCGTCTGATGATGTTCACTGCGTCTGGTGATGTTCACTGCGTCTGGTGATGTTCGCTGCGTCTGGTGATGTTCACTGCGTCTGGTGATGTTCACTGCGTCTGATGATGTTCACTGCGTCTGGTGATGTTCACTGCGTCTGGTGTGTTCACTGCGTCTGATGATGTTCACTGCGTCTGATGATGTTCACTGCGTCTGGTGATGTTCACTGCGTCTGATGATGTTCACTGCGTCTGGTGATGTTCACTGCGTCTGATGATGTTCACTGCGTCTGATGATGTTCGCTGCGTCTGATGATGTTCACTGCGTCTGCTGATGTTCACTGCGTCTGGTGATGTTCACTGCGTCTGGTGATGTTCACTGCGTCTGATGATGTTCACTGCGTCTGGTGATGTTCACTGCGTCTGCTGATGTTCACTGCGTCTGATGATGTTCACTGCGTCTGGTGATGTTCACTGCGTCTGGTGATGTTCACTGCGTCTGATGATGTTCACTGCGTCTGCTGATGTTCACTGCGTCTGATGATGTTCACTGCGTCTGCTGATGTTCACTGCGTCTGCTGATGTTCACTGCGTCTGCTGATGTTCACTGCGTCTGCTGATGTTCACTGCGTCTGCTGATGTTCACTGCGTCTGATGATGTTCACTGCGTCTGATGATGTTCACTGCGTCTGCTGATGTTCACTGCGTCTGCTGATGTTCACTGCGTCTGATGATGTTCGCTGCGTCTGATGATGTTCACTGCGTCTGGTGATGTTCACTGCGTCTGCTGATGTTCACTGCGTCTGCTGATGTTCACTGCGTCTGCTGATGTTCACTGCGTCTGCTGATGTTCACTGCGTCTGCTGATGTTCACTGCGTCTGGTGATGTTCACTGCGTCTGGTGATGTTCACTGCGTCTGGTGATGTTCACTGCGTCTGGTGATGTTCACTGCGTCTGGTGATGTTCACTGCGTCTGGTGATGTTCACTGCGTCTGGTGATGTTCACTGCGTCTGGTGATGTTCACTGCGTCTGGTGATGTTCACTGCGTCTGGTGATGTTCACTGCGTCTGGTGATGTTCACTGCGTCTGGTGATGTTCACTGCGTCTGATGATGTTCACTGCGTCTGGTGATGTTCACTGCGTCTGGTGATGTTCACTGCGTCTGGTGATGTTCACTGCGTCTGATGATGTTCACTGCGTCTGGTGATGTTCACTGCGTCTGGTGATGTTCACTGCGTCTGGTGATGTTCACTGCGTCTGATGATGTTCACTGCGTCTGATGATGTTCACTGCGTCTGGTGATGTTCACTGCGTCTGATGATGTTCACTGCGTCTGGTGATGTTCACTGCGTCTGATGATGTTCACTGCGTCTGATGATGTTCACTGCGTCTGGTGATGTTCACTGCGTCTGATGATGTTCACTGCGTCTGATGATGTTCACTGCGTCTGGTGATGTTCACTGCGTCTGATGATGTTCACTGCGTCTGATGATGTTCACTGCGTCTGGTGATGTTCACTGCGTCTGATGATGTTCACTGCGTCTGATGATGTTCACTGCGTCTGATGATGTTCACTGCGTCTGGTGATGTTCACTGCGTCTGATGATGTTCACTGCGTCTGATGATGTTCACTGCGTCTGATGATGTTCACTGCGTCTGATGATGTTCACTGCGTCTGGTGATGTTCACTGCGTCTGGTGATGTTCACTGCGTCTGCTGATGTTCACTGCGTCTGCTGATGTTCACTGCGTCTGGTGATGTTCACTGCGTCTGATGATGTTCACTGCGTCTGGTGATGTTCACTGCGTCTGCTGATGTTCACTGCGTCTGCTGATGTTCACTGCGTCTGATGATGTTCACTGCGTCTGCTGATGTTCACTGCGTCTGGTGTGTTCACTGCGTCTGATGATGTTCACTGCGTCTGGTGATGTTCACTGCGTCTGCTGATGTTCACTGCGTCTGCTGATGTTCACTGCGTCTGGTGATGTTCACTGCGTCTGATGATGTTCACTGCGTCTGCTGATGTTCACTGCGTCTGCTGATGTTCACTGCGTCTGGTGATGTTCACTGCGTCTGGTGATGTTCACTGCGTCTGATGATGTTCACTGCGTCTGCTGATGTTCACTGCGTCTGCTGATGTTCACTGCGTCTGCTGATGTTCACTGCGTCTGATGATGTTCACTGCGTCTGATGATGTTCACTGCGTCTGCTGATGTTCACTGCGTCTGCTGATGTTCACTGCGTCTGCTGATGTTCACTGCGTCTGCTGATGTTCACTGCGTCTGCTGATGTTCACTGCGTCTGCTGATGTTCACTGCGTCTGATGATGTTCACTGCGTCTGCTGATGTTCACTGCGTCTGCTGATGTTCACTGCGTCTGATGATGTTCGCTGCGTCTGATGATGTTCACTGCGTCTGGTGATGTTCACTGCGTCTGGTGATGTTCACTGCGTCTGATGATGTTCGCTGCGTCTGATGATGTTCACTGCGTCTGCTGATGTTCACTGCGTCTGCTGATGTTCACTGCGTCTGATGATGTTCGCTGCGTCTGATGATGTTCACTGCGTCTGGTGATGTTCACTGCGTCTGGTGATGTTCACTGCGTCTGATGATGTTCACTGCGTCTGGTGATGTTCACTGCGTCTGCTGATGTTCACTGCGTCTGATGATGTTCACTGCGTCTGCTGATGTTCACTGCGTCTGCTGATGTTCACTGCGTCTGCTGATGTTCACTGCGTCTGCTGATGTTCACTGCGTCTGGTGATGTTCACTGCGTCTGATGATGTTCACTGCGTCTGGTGATGTTCACTGCGTCTGGTGATGTTCACTGCGTCTGCTGATGTTCACTGCGTCTGCTGATGTTCACTGCGTCTGCTGATGTTCACTGCGTCTGGTGATGTTCACTGCGTCTGGTGTGTTCACTGCGTCTGATGATGTTCACTGCGTCTGATGATGTTCACTGCGTCTGATGATGTTCACTGCGTCTGATGATGTTCACTGCGTCTGGTGTGTTCACTGCGTCTGATGATGTTCACTGCGTCTGATGATGTTCACTGCGTCTGATGATGTTCACTGCGTCTGGTGTGTTCACTGCGTCTGATGATGTTCACTGCGTCTGATGATGTTCACTGCGTCTGATGATGTTCACTGCGTCTGCTGATGTTCACTGCGTCTGCTGATGTTCACTGCGTCTGCTGATGTTCACTGCGTCTGCTGATGTTCACTGCGTCTGGTGATGTTCACTGCGTCTGATGATGTTCACTGCGTCTGGTGATGTTCACTGCGTCTGCTGATGTTCACTGCGTCTGCTGATGTTCACTGCGTCTGGTGATGTTCACTGCGTCTGATGATGTTCACTGCGTCTGGTGATGTTCACTGCGTCTGCTGATGTTCACTGCGTCTGCTGATGTTCACTGCGTCTGATGATGTTCACTGCGTCTGGTGATGTTCACTGCGTCTGGTGATGTTCACTGCGTCTGCTGATGTTCACTGCGTCTGGTGATGTTCACTGCGTCTGCTGATGTTCACTGCGTCTGGTGATGTTCACTGCGTCTGATGATGTCATCTGCTCATTGTTCTTTATGTTTTGTGTGTGTGACAGGAGGTTTTCTGTTCGAGGGCATGTCAGATGATGATGAGGATTTCCAGCCTGTACGTTTTGTCCCCCTCTTCAGTCACATTGTATAAAATCGTATATTATTATTTTATTTATCATAGTTATGATTTTTTTTTTATTGTTAGTACAATTATATTAAGGAGAATTGAACATTTTATCATAGTAAGGCCATTTGTATTACTAGTAAAATTATAGTAAGGAGAATTTGAAGTATAATTACAGTAATATTTTGGTAATGGGGATTTTTTTTATTAGTATTGTAATATTTAAATAAGGGGATTTTATTATATTAATATAGTTAAAATGTTTTGTATAATAAATATTATGGTCATTCTTTTTTATTATTAGTTATATAGTAAGTAGAATTTTAAATAATATTAGTAATATAATAAAGAAAATATTATTATAGTAATATAATAGGAAGAGGTATTTTAATTAGTATTATAGTGATAAAGATTTTTTTTTTTTATGATTGTTGTATTTTGATATACAGTATATTGTATAATGATAGTAAGAATAAATCTGTGCATGTTGTTTAAAGCATGGAAACCGAGCCAGACATCAGAGACCGTTTGCAGCGTCGAGACCGACGACTCTGGGTCCCAGTGGAGCGACCGGGCCTCGACCCATCACTCAGAGCGAGCTAGCATCAGCCCTAGCTTTAGCCAGCACCCCCGAGGCCAGCACTCCGGTCAGACACACACACACTCACACACACACACTCACACACACACACACTCACACTCACACACACACACACACTCGACCCATCACTCAGAGCGAGCTAGCATCAGCCCTAGCTTTAGCCAGCACCCCCGAGGCCAGCACTCCGGTCAGACACACACACACTCACACACACACACACTCACACTCACACACACACACACACTCGACCCATCACTCAGAGCGAGCTAGCATCAGCCCTAGCTTTAGCCAGCACCCCCGAGGCCAGCACTCCGGTCAGACACACACACACTCACACACACACACACACACACTCACACACACACACACTCACACTCACACACACACACACACTCGACCCATCACTCAGAGCGAGCTAGCATCAGCCCTAGCTTTAGCCAGCACCCCCAAGGCCAGCACTCCGGTCAGACACACACACACTCACACACACACACTCACACACACACACACTCACACTCACACACACACACACACACACACTCGACCCATCACTCAGAGCGAGCTAGCATCAGCCCTAGCTTTAGCCAGCACCCCCGAGGCCAGCACTCCGGTCAGACACACACACACTCACACACACACACTCACACACACACACACTCACACTCACACACACACACACACTCGACCCATCACTCAGAGCGAGCTAGCATCAGCCCTAGCTTTAGCCAGCACCCCCGAGGCCAGCACTCCGGTCAGACACACACACACTCACACACACACACACTCACACTCACACACACACACACACTCGACCCATCACTCAGAGCGAGCTAGCATCAGCCCTAGCTTTAGCCAGCACCCCCGAGGCCAGCACTCCGGTCAGACACACACACACTCACACACACACACACACACACTCACACACACACACACTCACACTCACACACACACACACACTCGACCCATCACTCAGAGCGAGCTAGCATCAGCCCTAGCTTTAGCCAGCACCCCCAAGGCCAGCACTCCGGTCAGACACACACACACACTAATGCTCACTCTCGTCTGTAGGACATGTCCTCTGTTGGGCCGTCAGACACACACACACACACACACACACACACACACTAATGCTCACTCTCGTCTGTAGGACATGTTCTCTGTTGGGCCGTCAGACACACACACACACACACACACACTAATGCTCACTCTCGTCTGTAGGACATGTCCTCTGTTGGGCCGTCAGACACACACACACACACACACACACTAATGCTCACTCTCGTCTGTAGGACATGTTCTCTGTTGGGCCGTCAGACACACACACACACACACACACATTAATGCTCTCTCTCCTCTGTGCTGCAGGACATGTCCTCTGGCGCTCCGGTCAGCAACAGTCTCCTCACTCAGGCTCTTCAACAAGCCTTACAGGCGTCTGGCGTGAGCTCGCTCCAGGTGCCAACAGAACAACACACTACTGGGGACGCATTTCACTATACACACAGTCAAACCAACATTTCTCACATTATCACAGTTTATTCGCTATAAAATAAGCGAATGTTATCTATAATTGCTTAGAAAATCAGCATTTTGCAGTGGCTGCTGCTTACACGTGTGTGTGTGTGTGTGTGTGTGTGTGTGTGTGTGTGTGTGTGTGTGTGTGTGTGTGTGTGTGTGTGTGTGTGTGTGTGTGTGTGTGTGTGTGTGTGTGTGTGTGTGTGTGTGTGTGTGTGTGTGTGTGCGCTGCAGGGCCGCTGGCAGACACAGATGCAGCAGCTCAGGGATATGGGCATCCAGGACGAGAGTCTGGCTCTGCGAGCGCTAACGGCCACGAACGGGGACCTGCAGTCGGCACTCGAGATCATCTTCTCTGGAGGACTGTGACCGGCCCAGTTTTCTTGTTCTTTTTTATTACTTTTCACTGAAATAATAAAAATAAAAAAAGTTGTATCAAATTGTATTTAAGTTTAAGTGAGACTGCATGAGTGAATGAGTGTTTGATTAGGCCTGTCTGGTGACGTCAGTATATGTCCACTAGGTGGCGCTGTGAGACAATTTAAGGGAATCCAGTGTAAAAAAAAATATGAAACTCCTCCAAAAGTGCATACACATAAATCTGAACTACCAACTCAATATCAATCTTGATTTTGGATAATTAAAATTAATATATAATGTAATTCTTATATTAATAAAAAAATTCATTTCAACACATTTGACTACCAAAATTCTTATACTTAAGTTTTTAGGAACAGTTTTAAATCACCAAAACTCAAAAGCTGTACATGTTTTTTTTTTTTATAATTATTATAGTAGCATGAGAATATGTATTATTACTAATACAGTAATACAATAAGCATATTATTAGTATGGATAATGTTTTATTAGTAATTTAACATTAAAGTATTGTAGTATGGAGAAATAATTATTATTGTTGTACTTTTATATACACACACACACACACACACACATATATACAGTTACAATTGAAATTATTCAACCCCCATTGCAAATCAGGTTTATTGGCAAAATGTACAGACTTCAAGCTGTTTGCAATGAACAGATCAAACAAAAGTAATTAAAATAGGTCAACACAACAAAAGTGATTTTCCCAAATGTAACTACAAATGCAACTTTTCATGATTTTTGCATTTTCAAAATTATTCAGCCCCCTGAATAGAATCCCTCACAACAGCACAAATCTGCAAAAAAGGTGTTGTCTCAAGCCACCTGATGCAAGTAATCAAGGGCTTCATTAGTCATATCAGGTGTGCTTGAGCTAGAACACACACAATATCTGAACTGGCGAGGTTTGTTGAGAGTCACATTTGACTGCAAGTTAGAAATATGGCTAAGTCAAAAGAATGGTCCAAAAAGTTAAAGGGGTGGTATAATCCTTTTCACAATTTGTCAAATAAGACTGATGTCCCCAGTGTGTGTGTGTGTGTGAAGCGTTAGCTCACAATACCCCACAGATATGTTTATATAGCATGTTAAAGCTGTCACTTTTTGAGGGTGAGCCAAAACTCACCGGTTTTGTGTCTGTCCATTTAAATGCAAATGAGCTGATGCTCCCGGCACAGGGGGCGGAGCTTCAAGACCTCGTGTCCTTTTACCTCACACACACACACTGAACATTTCAAAAACTTTTAGCCTTTTATGTTCAAACCGGAGTCAGAGAGATGGAGAGACTCAAGAGGAAGTGACAAGAAGCAACAGGACATTTCTGAACGCTTAGTTGATGAGTTTATGAGCTTATGTGTCATTATCTTCTAGTCATTGATTAGCATATTCTGTCATGATGATCTATAAATCTTGTTCCAGGGGGCGGGGCTCATAGGCGTCATTTACGGGGGACGGGGGGGGGGGGGGGACATGTCCCCATCACTATTTGCAAGGGTCGATTTTGTCCCCACCACTTTTGAAACATCTCGCGGTACGGATGTACCAATACAAGTAAAACATCTCCAGTTAACTAGCAGAGCATTCGTTTCGTTCGTTTGTTAAATAAGAGCCGATCTAGCGCTAACATGTGTTGTTTTTTTAATCAAGTGATCATGTGATCGTTGCCTCTGCGATCAGTGGCGCGGATACAGTGTTCTGTTGTGGCTCGCGCACGCGCCGCAATGTCTTCACTCGGACGCGCGCTTCAATCCGTTGCGGAGATTCTCTATTCGTTCCGGTGAAATCGCAAAACAAAATGCAAACAAACGTCCCTGCTTGATATACAACCACTGATAAACATTATCGTTTTTTATGAGGGGAAAAAATTCCCTCGAGTGCGAGTGCTATTCGAGTGCGGATTAGAACCCAGACACGCTTGGCAAAAATTCTGCCACTGGACCATTACAGTAAAAATGTGTTTATTCACGTGAAAATTCATGACACTAACAACATATCAGATCTCATTGTACGACCAATTAAACCCAAAGTAGCCTACTACCCCAAAATAGCAGGTTTATACGACTGAAGCGACAATACCCAGTTAAAATAGTGCGGCCGGCTACGCAATACTTTCGTTCCCTAACTCAGGGAACTGAGGTTACGTGAGTAACCAAGTAGTTCCCTTTCGAACGGTCACTTCGTATTGCGTAGCTATACGCAGTGGGAACGCTATGCAAAACGCCGCACTGAATAACTGGTTGCCACTGCAACTCAGGAACCCTGAGCATACAGAACAAGCCATAAACCACTTAATATGTATACACTAGAGCCGACACCGTCAGGTCCAGGTGAATACATCAGAATTTCCCGGTCAAGAATATGAAAATACCACCAGCCTTAGCGGGTTTATAAAATAAAGATTTTTACCGGCCAGAAGCGGGTTTATATACATATATATGTGAATGTGGTTATGCACAGAACAAATGATGAAAGACCAGACACTGTCAAGGCCCTAATCATACCGAAAAGACCCCTGCCTGTAGGGAGGGTACTTCCAAATTATAGAATTTCATAAATGTGGACGGCGAGGCCCAACCGGCCGCCTCACAAATGTCTTGGATGGGAAAACCAGACGACCACGCCCACGACGAGGCCATGCCTCTGGTCGAATGGGCTTTAACACCTAAAGGGCAAACCTGACCCGCTGAGGTATAAGCCGTTGAAATGGCCTCCACTATCCATCTAGACAGTCTCTGTTTAGTGACAGGACCCCCTTTGGACCACCAAAGCAGACAAAAAGCTGTTCTGATTGCCTAAACGATGCAGAACGCTCCAGATAGATTCTCAGCGGCCTGACAGGGCAGAGAAAGTTAACCTCCCCATCCTCCGTGGAAGGGGGAAGGGCTAACAATGTTACCACCTGTGCTCTGACCGGCGTTGAGAGCACTTTGGGTACATAACCATGCCTGGGTTTGAGGATGACCCTGGAATCACCAGGACCAAACTCCAAACATGCCGGGCTCACAGAAAAAGCCTGCAGATCTCCCACTCGCTTAATAGATGCCAATGCCAACAGGAGAGCAGTCTTCAGCGAGAGAAGTTTAAGATCCACCGACTGGAGTGGTTCAAAAGGTGGACCCTTCAAAGCCCCTAGGACCACAGATAGGTCCCAGGACGGCACAGAAGGAGCTCTGGAGGGGTTAATCCTCCTAGCACCCTTTAAAAATCCTTCTGGAAATTGTCCCCATTATCACGCCCTCTTGGTTCCAGCCCTGAGCCCACCAGGGAACCAGGGTCCTTAAACAACCGTGATTCACTCTGATGCGTAGGCTGCCTGACTGCCAAGCATTCGTTGGCACCCGGCGTTTCAGCCAGTGCTGCAGCGGGCGCATGCGCAGCAGTCCCATGCGGAGCACTGGTGATGCTGCTGCCATAACACCCAGTAGTTTCTGAAATTTCTTCAGAGGCGCGCACTCTCGCTCTCTGAACGAGGATGCCAGCGCACGCACTGAGAGCGCGCGCTCTGGTGTGAGCCGAGCTCTCATTGACACCGAGTCTAAAACTATGCCCAGAAAGATCACACTCTGACAGGGTGATAGTTTGCTCTTTGAAACATTGATCGTGAGACCCAAGCATTCCAAATGGCCGAGAATCAGATTTCTGTGAGCTATGGCCGGCGTACGATCATGGCCGGGGGCATGGCCGGCGTACGGTCACTCACATCCATGCTCTCGGGCTGCCGCTGGCTGCGGCGTTTCTTCTTCGTATGCTGAAGAAGGACCGAGGGAGGAGGCGCGGGCGAAGCGGCGTCTTCATCCCTGGCGAGAGCTAGCCGAGTCCGCAGAGAGGAGATGGGCATGCTCTCACAGGCCGCACATCCGCCGGAGGAGAAGGCCTTTTCCGCGTGGTCGAGTCCCAGGCATGAAATGCATCGTGCGTGGTGATCGGCCTCGTGCAGCTTGCGTGCGCACATGGCGCAGTTACGAGACATCTCGTTGTGTAGAACAAAAAGGATATCGCTGGATAGCCACAGGTGAGACGGCGTCAGGAGACGAACGGCTGAGAAGACGTGATCTGCTGAAATAAGGCTCGCTCAAGCTGAAGGGTTTGTTCGACGGCGAAGGCTCAGTGAAACAGTCAGAGACATACAGTTTGTCGCTGAAGGAGTAAAATCTGCTATTTTGGCGAGTTCAGGGGCTTATATAGGCTAGGCCTCGCCCCTATGACGGGCTCTGACGTGTGATGACGTGGAGCGATCTCATTGGTCGCACGTCAGGAGCGCCCGCGCCATTGGATGTGCAGTTGCTGCAGCACAGCCTATGAGCGAGCGAGACGCTCTATGTGCTAGCTGTGCAGCTGCAAATGCGTTTTACATAAGGTTCAGTAGAATCGAGGAAAAGGAGTTTTCCCACTGCGTATAGCTACGCAATACGAAGTGACCGTTCGAAAGGGAACATGACCTGCGCGAAAGAAAAAAAAATGAATGTGTCATTGTACCCAGCACTTTTCAAACCAAACTGACGCCCATGGCGGGGCTTATGTACATTTTAGTGTTAGTGATGTCACTAACCCGGGAGGAATGTTGTGTAGTTCTACCGGCCGTTTGTTGTAGTCCTTAAAAAGTGATTTCTGTAAAAGAAAATATCTCCCTTTGCTTTGAACTTTGAGCGTCGTAACTTTGCAGAAGTTGTTTATCCTCTAACAGCAACGTTACACACTAACTACAGCTAGAAAAGTGAAATCATAATCAACCGCCCCTTTAAGAGAAGGTATCATCCCCTTCACAAACAAGGAACAGGAAACAAAGATAGTGAAGGCACTCAATGTTCCTGGAGACATCGGTGGAAGCAGAGTTCAGAGTTAAAGGATCAGTGGTTCCTCTCCCTGGACGGGCAGAAGAAGAAGACATCAACGACTGCAACCAGACTTGTGAGAAGGCCGATTCAGAGCAACCCTGGAGTGACTGAGGAGACCTGAAGACAGGCGAGGCCACACTGAGGTCCAGCTGCACAGTGAAGCCTGTACTAAACGCTTCACAACTCCAGCAATACGCCTCTACTGACACAAAAGCACAAGAAAAGTCGGCTCCGATTTGC